TCTTCAAAGCATTGCCAATCAAATGCCAGATGCATTTAATGATGCTATGAAAGTGACAAAATCAAATATACCAGCTGCAAATGCACCTGCAAGAATTGATGTCCCTGTTGGACAAAATAAAGTGGCAGCAAATGATTCATCTGGTGCACGCCTGAAGCTTTGTAGACCCCCAGGTTCAAAAGATTCAGCTCCTCGAAAGAGAAAGTCGAGGGCACAACTGAATCCAAATGAAGTCATTCAGGAAGAGAAAATGAATGATACATCCACAATTCATAATTCTGGACTTCCAGAAAAAGAAAATGTCTTTGATGAGACATCTGTCCCTGAAGAGACAGAAATACATGAAAGCAAAGAAATCTCCATAAATTATGCATGTACAAATGAATTGTGGGATCAGAATGAAATAATCATTGATGATATGTTTGCATTTGCAGTAGCCACTAAAATCATCTTAAGTGATGATATTGAGCCCCGCTCTGTTGATGAATGCAAACAGAGACAGGATTGGCCTAAGTGGAAAGATGCAATCCAGGCAGAATTAAATTCCTTGGAAAAGCGGAATGTTTTTGGACCAGTAGTCCAAACCCCGCCTAGCGTAAACCCCGTGGGTTACAAATGGGTATTCACAAGGAAACGCAATGAGAAAAACGAGATCACAAGATACAAAGCACGACTCGTTGCACAAGGTTTTTCTCAAAGACCTGGAATTGATTATGAGGAGACATACTCTCCTGTAATGGACGCAATTACGTTCCGTTACTTAATAAGTTTAGTGGTTTCAGAAAGACTTGACATGCGACTTATGGATGTCATCACTGCGTATCTATATGGAGAATTAGATACTGACATCTATATGAAAGTCCCAGAAGGACTTAAGTTGCCTGAAACAAGTAATAAACCACGAGGTATGCTCTCGATCAAATTAAGGCGATCATTGTATGGTCTGAAACAATCTGGACGAATGTGGTATAATCGTCTCAGTGAGTATTTGATCAAAGAAGGGTATATCAACAATGTTATTTGTCCTTGTGTGTTCATTAAGAAATCCAATTCTGGATTCGCTATAGTGGCTGTATATGTTGATGATATGAATCTAGTTGGGACTCTTGAAGAGCTCAATAAAACTGCTGAATATCTGAAAAGCGAATTTGAAATGAAAGACCTTGGAAAAACAAAATATTGTCTCGGCCTGCAGATCGAGCATTGTGCTAGTGGAATTTTGGTCCACCAATCAGCTTACATTGAAAAAATTCTGAAGCGATTTGGTATGGACAAGGCTTATCCACTAAGCACGCCAATGGTCGTTCGTTCTTTGGACATTAAGAAAGATCCATTTCGTCCAAAAGAAGATGATGAGCTGGTCCTTGGTCCAGAAGTACCATATCTAAGTGCAGTAGGTGCTTTGTTGTATTTAGCACAATGTACTAGACCAGATATAGCTTTTTCAGTTAATTTGTTAGCAAGGTATAGCTCTGCTCCAACAATTCGCCATTGGAAGGGTATCAAAGATATATTGCGATACCTTCGTGGGACAACAGACATGGGTCTCTTCTACTCAAAGAACTCCACAGATGACCAGGTCCTTGTTGGATATGCAGATGCTGGCTTCCTCTCTGATCCGCATAAAGCCCGCTCACAAACTGGATATGTGTTTAAGAATGGAGATACAGCAATCTCATGGCGCTCAACCAAGCAAACATTAGTTGCTACATCTTCAAATCATTCAGAAATACTTGCTTTACATGAAGCAAGTCGTGAATGTTCTTGGTTAAGATCAATGATCCATCATATCCGGAATTCATGTGGTCTAACTTCGAAGACAGACAATCCAACTGTCATCCATGAAGATAATGCAGCCTGTGTTGCCCAAATGAAGGAAGGATTCATCAAGGGCGATAAGACTAAACACATATCTCCAAAGTTTTTCAGTGCTCATGAGCTTCAGAAGGCTAAAGTTATTGAAGTCAGACAAATCCGTTCAAATGAAAATCTGGCAGACTTGTTCACCAAATCTCTACCAAAGTGCACATTTCAGAAGTTAGTGCAAGGCATCGGATTACGTCGACTTACCAAACAGCTAAATTTGGAAAATGTGGAATCAGGGGGAGAAACATATCAGGGGGAGTATCCATGATACATGCTTGTTGTACTCTTTTTCCTTCGATTAGGATTTTTCCCACTGGGTTTTTCCTATCAAGGTTTTAACGAGGCAACATAAGCATACTTGACACTATATCAACGATCCAGGAAAAGTTGTACTCTTTTTCCTTCGCTATGGTTTTTTTTTTCCCACTGGGTTTTTCCAAGCAAGGTTTTAACGAGGCAACTCATGTTAATATGTGGGCATCCAAGCGGGAGTGTTGAAAAGTCTCAGACACAGTCTCAATGTCTGTTATGTTGAAAAGTCTCAGACACAGTCTCAATGTCTTTGGCAATGAATGCCCACAAAGCTAAAGTCATCTGCATGGGCAAAGTTTTCAATGCCCATGCTGAATGAAAGTGTCAGAGGTACGTTTTAAATTTCAAGATGCATTAATTGCATCAGTTCGAGTTGCTCTATAAATAGAGCACTCCGCATGTAACAGAATATAGATGAAGAAGAAAAACAAGAGAGAAATATCAATAACATCATATATTCCTCTGCCTTTTATTATCTGTCTGTGCTATAGTTTTTGTGTGGCATTTTACATCTACCTTGCACCTACCACTTAAAAGGTTATCTCTCAAACTTTAACCCTTTTATAACACTCTGAACCTTATTCTACACAATAGAGATGTTTAAGACCAAAAAAAAAAATATATATATATATATATATATTGAATAGTAAATAAAAAATAAAAAAATGAACAGAAAGCATACCTTACCCGACTGACATCTAACCTTAAACCCTCGAGGGCATCACTCACCACCTCCATAAGTCCGGTTCCATTTGAGCCGATGGCTTTTCTTGATGCAATCTTCGGTGGAGACAGTGGTGCTCGGGATAGTAGCAAGAAAAAGTCCTCTCCAGAAGCTGCTGGGTGAGCTTCTATAGATCTTCTCTGATGCGGCTAATGTGGAGTCAGTCATTGGTGGTAAAATTGGTGATGAGTGGGGGTATACTTTTGTCGACGACATCAATAATACATTACAATTCGAGGTTGGTTGGTGTGGGACTATAAATTTTTTAGGACTGGAGTAAGGTCAATGGAACTACGCGTACCTCAAAAGTCGTCATGAACTCAATAGTTCTGGTAGGATTGCGTTGCTCAAACGGACTAGCGATGTCACCACGTACATCTTGCTGTACTTTGAAAAGGTAGGCGAAGTCTGCTAACTTCGCTGAGATTGACCATTCTTATTCCGCAAGACATGAAAATAAGATCAAATAGGTTCCATATATTCTTGGAGATTTCTACAATCTAGGAGTTGGCGTGGTGCCGCAAGTAATCACACTCCTAAGAGGAAACAATATTTAATCCTAGATATTCTCTTGAATTCTCCCTATTTAATACATATTTCATATCCTAAAAGGTATCTCTCCCGATTAGTATAAATACCCTCATTTAGAGCATAACTTTGGTAACGCATATAACGCAATCTACACATACTCTTTGCTTATTCTCTTACCTATTGCTTGAGTCTTAATATTACTTATTAACTTGACCATCGAAGACTTTTGGCCGGCATCCCACCAGTACGCAAGGTCTTAGAATGCCAATAGATGATATTCACCCAAAAACACTACATAACCAATGATTGATCTCCTAGTGTCAATATAAGTAACCTAGTCTACATCTGAGTATGCAGTAATTTGATTAATTGGAATCCTCAACTTTCTGTATTGATGGGAGGAGGAGAAACCTTGCATGGGCTTGTACGTCGGTTGGGCTACTCCCCCTATTGCCAATTGAATTTGTGGTGGAACCTAAACTTTCTTCATGGGATCAGGGTAGGTTGGCCCACGTATGAAGTCCAACAGTCACACGTACCCCACGTCACTCTGTTTATATTGTCCACATGTTAGGCTTGAAATTTGCCACATGTGTGGGGGCATGTTGAGAATGAATCTCACATTGATGGAAGAAGAGACTTTGCATGGGCTTATAAGTAAGTTGGATTACTTTTCATATTGCCAATTGATTTTATAGTGAAACCCCAACTTTCTTCAGGTAGAAATAAAATCCCTTGGCAATTTGGGAATTGGGAGAATGATTAATTAAGAGGATGGTTTATATATTTTATATCTTTTCTGGTTGAATTGCATATAGATAATTGGATAATGCCAAATCTAGGCGATTAGAATGCCAAATATAGGTTTTGTTGTTAATGAGCCCCGATGAGATTAATCATCATTCTATCACAAAAGAAAAATGCCCGTGTTGTTCACTCACGAGAGCCATATTGGCAGTTTTCATGTTTCATGTGCATGCAGAGATTCACAGGCACGGTGCACCCGATCAATGAAGACAAACCTCTTTCATTTGTTGGATTATTAAGCAAATACCATGAAAACAAAATAAAGAGAGAATATATTTGAAGGCAGCAGTGTTTGTCTTCGTGATTGTTGTCTTTTTTTTGTTTTGGTTTTTTTTTTTTTTTTAAACTTGCCACAAGTAAGTGTAAGCAGTTTCTTAATTTTAATTATTTTTCTTGTTTGATTTTCGAATCCACATGCAGTTGTCTAATGAAGCACTAGGACTGTCTAATTATATTGTAACACGGAGTGGATGGAAATGTATAAATAAGGGCTTAATTAGCTGAAACATCCATGAGTAATGAGAGAATTTGTTTTTGTTTTGGACGAATCATCCATGCTAACGAGTGAAAAGGAGAGGGGGTGGGAAGCCTATGGACAAATTTCTTAACAAAGTGAAAGATCGTTATTTTTTCATATATATATTTTTTAAAATACGAGCGATATTCTATATTAACCTATAAGAAGAAGATAGGTTTGAACGTGGAACCTAATAAGTTGAAGATAAAATATTTTAACCACCAGAGCAATCAAAAGAATATATGCATCTTACATGTAATAAATCTCTCTTATTCTCTGTGGAAATGTCACAAAAACCCTGAACAGTATACATTAAATTTCCAAAGACTAATTAACAAGCCTCTTCTCTCTTTGCACTCAAGGTGAGAGACATCTTTGTTCTTTTCCTAATTTTCAAATCCTGATGTATGAATTATTTACAAAAAATGACGTATGCTTGTCAAAGTACCAATTTGTGCTAATTAGGGTTTGGATTAGCCACAAAGAATGCCAAAGCACCAACAAATGGTGCATTAATGTAAGTGGTCGGCTCAGATTTCTTAAAGTCTGCACGATCATCCCCATAAAAGTCATCTTCTCCAGGTCCTCCCACGAGGGCACCCACAAGAACATTAGGGTTAGGACCTGAAGAGTTGAAGTACACCGAGCCTTCCTTGCAAGCAATGACTTGGGGGTGGTCCTTGATTGATGGCAACGAAGAGCCACGGTGGTGAATACGCTGCGGAAAATGGTCACCATAGCCAACCATGTATGACAATCCCATTGGATTATCACCCAAAATGTAATCAACTTGTTTCTTGGCGATTTGGTGTAGGGTTGCTGGACTGACGTTTATGTTGCCGCAGTTTAGGGACTGCGAGGTCCGTGAAAGGTAATTCGCGTAAACAAGTAGTAGGAATGTGATGGAAGTTACGTGCTGCAAATTGCTGCCTCCCGGCTTATAGATGAGTCCGCCGGGAGTGTACTCGATGTGGGAGGATGTTGAGTCCGGAATTAACGTGCACATGAAGCTATCTGCCGATGCTTTATAGGATTCGAGATTGTACATGTTGCCTTCTAAGACTTGCTAAGAAAGAAAAGAAAAGAAAAAGTTTATGCTTTTGATAAAGTTAATTTCAAAATTCAGATTTTCTAATTCTATTTTGTGCTCTAATATCGTGTTCATTTTAAAAGAATGTGCTATAAAATCAGTACAAAAATATAACCAAAGATTCTATTCATATTATATATATGTTAAGAAATTTTAATCTGACCTTGGAGACTAGAACATTTAGGCCAGCATGCTTGTTGTCCCAACCAAATTCGTTTATGTTGTCATCGGCACCAAGAGTTTTGCCATTGTTTTGTATGTAGTCAAGGTAACCACTATCTTGAGTGACCCTACTCAACCATGCTGCCCCCCACAGCAACTCGTCCTACCAAACATCACAAAAAATGAATTGATTTTATGTACAATTCTAAATAAGTGGATGCATGTTGCATGTATTATGTTTTAAAAATAAATAAATAAATAAAAAATGCTTGTATATATATATATTGACTATAGACTTACTTGATAACCATCAAAATCACAATAAAATGGGCAGACACCATCTTTAATGTTAGAATTATCACTATAAGCACCTCTGTGAGTATCAGCTAACTCAAAGGCCTTCTTGGCATTTCTTAACAATGTGTCCGAGTACCCGGGATCGGATGATCGGAATGCCACCGACGAAGCTGCTAGGGCTGCTGCCGTCTCGCCTGCGACTTCAGAAGCAGGATTGGGCGAATCCACAGCATATACAGTCCTGGCCGTGTCCATGTCTTCAGGTCTTTCCCAACAGTTATGGTCTATAATTGGGTCACCAACCTATTATTCCATGAAAACGAAGTTATACCCACAAAAAAAGGCCAAATTTTGCTTGTCGTTAGCAACATAAACATTATTTGAATCGGTTTATTAGTGGGCAACTGTTCTATATATTCGGACTTGTTTTGTATTAAGAAATTTGAGGACTATTTGTGTCCTATCCATATGGAGCATAAGGCTTGATGGGACAAGTGTTTGTCCCATGCAGGCAAGATGCAACTCACGGACTTTAGGGTCAAAAAGTGGGATGGAAGTCCGTCCACCCACAGATGATAATTATTTAAGACTAATTGGTTCACGTTCCTTTGTGATAATTATTTCTAAACACTTTATTCGAATAATTTTCTTTTGAATGAATATTAGAGTTAAGGTGGTAATATATAGTCAGATATAATTTTTTTTTATCGTATACCTAATTGTTAAAATATTAAATAAAGGAAAATTTAGTATAAGGTCCCTAGTTTCTAATGTTCATTGACTAAGATTTTATTAGTTTTTAGATTTTGATCAACGTCCCTAGCATTAATATATTAATAAATTATATGTAAGTTACATAATTTTTACAATAAAAATTAGTAATTGATTTCGAGTTTTAATACTCACACCCTTATTAAACTCCTAATTAATTTCAATTCAAACATTTCCAAAATATAAAAAATAAAATTAGAATAAGTTTGGACCCATTAAATTTTTATAAAAAAAATGATATGTACCCATTCTTAAATATACCAATTTGTTATATGAAAAATGTACCCTTTTTAAATATAAAATATACCCATTTTTTGTATAAAATTCATTCAATCTTTTCTCTAATCAATTTTTTAAACTTATATGGGTACATTCTATTTTGTTGATTTAAGAATGTATCCATGTCAAGTTTAATAGAAGAAATGCTTAATAATTATTAAGCCTAATATCTTCTTCTTCTTTTTTTTTGAAAAATGTACCCATGTTTAATTTTTTGGTTATTTTTTTATGAACGTACCCATGTATACACAATATATTGGAGAGTATAATTTATCTTTAATATTTTTAATCCCATAAATTATGGGTTTTATTTAAAATCTCATTAATATAAATAACTACAAATTTCATTTTTAGTTTAAAAATAAAAAATAACCTACATAGAAATACATTATTATATTAATGTCAGGGACTTCGATAAAAAATTAAAAATCACAAAGATTTTAGTCAAAGAACATTGATAGTTAGGGCTCCCATCCAAAGTGTCCTTTAAATAAATATATATATATATATATATATATATATATATTAGTAACCAATGTGTTGAGAAGGAAACTATGACAAAATTGCAGCAAAAAGAAAGTGATAAATACTTCAAAACTTTAGAAGTAAAGTATTTCATCAGATGTATATGTTAAACTTCAAATTCTGGAAACCAACAAATAGAGTACACTTGTGGAAAGGAGGGAACTCAAGTTATCTTTCCTCCACAGTTAAGTTTTGATAAATTCAAGGTCTGGGATTCTGTTGTTGTAAACTTTGTCAAAATTTATAGGCAGACAGATGCAATGCAATGCAATGCCATGCACGCAATTCCAAGGGAAGGGATCAAAAGAAACTTGTTATATTCTCTCTGGATAAAACTGGGGCCACGGGGCCAGTACCTGACAACACAATGAGTCACTGACCCAGTGGACTACATGAGACCACAGAACACAACCTACAATCGTCCACCTATTCGTATTTATATGAAGAAAACTTTAGCTCTTACAAAATTACAATTCAATATGTATGTTCAGATTAGTTTGATGAATTTTTTTGTTATATTAATTTGCAAGAAAAAAAAAATGACTTCTTACTTGCGTGTAAGGATTCAAACAATGTTCTTCACAAGTTATTATTTCAATCAAGGCACATCTATGACTGTGTATACATAATCATGATTTCGTCTTATAGCAAATTCTAATTTGAAATTTGTGCATATATTTTAATTAAGAATTCATACGTGTACATTTTAAAGTGTAATTGCAGATAAAAAAAACCGACTACTAATTGCTAATTAAAGGTAAAGAGTGAAGCATTGTTCAGTCACATGTATATAACTAGTTCAACCAAGACGAAGACACATTAACTTTTCCACCCACTCCCCTTACCACCCCACCATAACCACAACCACAATTATTAAATTTACTCTATTTACCAGTTACCTGCACAAAAATCCGGTTAGGCTGAGACACAGTCTTGAGCAAGTAATCTGTGGCCCAGCGGATTGCCACGAGAGCGTTCCTCAGCTCATTGGGAGGCATTGAATCTCCAAACTCTATCACACTCCAAGCCAGCATTGTCGTCGTGAACGCCATCGGAAAACCAAACTTGACATTATCACCGGCGTCATAATAGCCGCCGGTCAAGTCTGTGTTGTACGTCCACCCGTCACTGAGTCCTGAGTTGGCACGCCATGATTGGCGCTGGTCCTGAGGCAAGACCCCCGACCTCTGCCCCTCGAAGAATAGTATGGCCTTGGACAATGCCTCTTGGTAGTCATGGCTTGATGATGCAAAGCTTGGGAGCTCGAATAGGGCAACTAGGGTAAAAACGGAAACAAGAAAATGAGGGAAGGAAACGGTTTTTTTCATGTTTTTGGAAACTGGGTTGGTTTTGTTTTGGTGAGTTTTTGTAGTGTCTGATAAATAATGTGAGTTTTTTCTGGTTTTGGTTTGGTTTGTTGGGAGGTAGGTTTTTATACATATGTGCAGTCTGTCTTGGGGGTGTCACGGGAAAGGGAGGTGAGAGGGATTTGGAGGGAAGAGAGAGAGAGAGGGAGGGAGGGAGGGAGGCGTGATAGCGCCGACAGGTGGGTAGACGGAGTGTCAGTGAACTCACATGCGTTACACAAATAGGGATTGTGTGATTATGTGAGAGTGCACAGTACTTCACTTTTGATTATGATGTGCACAGTACTTCACTTTTGAATATGATGCTTTTGTGTGGGGACGGTTGCTAAAATAAAAGTGAGTGCTCCGGACTGTAAGACCGAGACTTGGGTAGAGGTGTTGGATTAATTTCGATGTAAATTAATTTTAAATGATCTACAACATATAATAGGAAAGTAATATGGGATATTAATGTAGATATTGTGATTTGATTTTCAAAAGATATCAATCTTATATTAGATGTCTTGTAATACAAGTAAGATTGATTGAGTCCTTAATTTTATGTGATTATGATATCTAACTGATAGGCTAAAAAAGTGGGATTTGAGATTCCTTTATGGACGGAACCTTAATACCTTAGCCAGTATAAATACTAAGGTCCTTGCAAACTCTAGATAAACAATAAATGCTTCCTATAAAGTAGTTGTATCCGGCTAGGTACTTTGTAGAAGACTTTGGTGTTGATGCATCCTACATCATCTCCGCTTGATATTCAATGGCTATTGCTTTACGATCAGGTCAGTCAACTCCTTGTTTGCATTTTAATTATATAACCATATAGGGTGCGTTTGTGGCACATGACTGTCATCAATTTGGTGTTTGCTCAGACTAGGACTACATTATTGTTCAATTTTAATTGTTTTTTTTATTAAAGATATTATTAAAATTAATAATATTGGATGAGAGTGAGACTCAATAAAAATACAAAAACCAAATTTTCTTGCCAACGAAAGAAACATACATGATTCAAGAGTAGCATCGTTCCAAACATCAATATAACAAAGTGTTCTCCCAACAATTGACAGGGTTCATGATGCTTTTCTTAATTATTCACCTTTGGTTTAAAGTTGTAGATTAAAGTTAAATGTGTTGGTAAATACTTGTATTTGAGTAGAACGAAAATTGATGTCTGACAAGTTCAGTTTTTTACTCAATTGTGAAATAATTACTTGGAATTGCTCTTGTATGTATAAGCCAATTTCAGTCTATACTGTGACAATTGCATTCAATCCCAAGACCGCAATGATGTGAGGCACAATGACAAATGGATAGCTGCACATTGATCATTGCTACATTTGGATTCCTAGCACATAAATTGGCTTGCTCCAACTAGTTTGAAGAAAACTAGTAACAATATGCAAAAGGAAGAGATCATGAACAATTTGTACATTCCATTTGTATATTAAACTAAGCAATTAAAATGTCTTCCCTCACAACGAAGCAAGTCAGTTAGTCAATTCCATGTGCAGTAGTGCTAATCCAATGAAAGGAAAAACAGATGAGAGAGGGAAAGGTCACCAATTTAATCAAACTGTTGGATGTTCCAACTAGAATAAATGAAAGATGCCAATACTACATTAACACAGTACACAGCAGAGCAAGGTAAACTGCTTAATTGTACATTATACAATTTTTTACAATAAACTCTAGAAAATAGCTAATTGCCTCAATCATCCGAGCTATATTTACTCAATTCAAGAACTGTAACAGAAGCGCAGCAAAACAACTCTTTATCCTTCAGGAGGAGACAACTTCCAACTCAATTCCATTTTAGATCAAGTATGCTAAATTGTGGTTAGGGCGGGATGCTCGCACTATAGGCAACACCAAGAGGCCACATGTACAAACAAGAACTTCCTGTGCAAACAACAGAATGAGTGCACGTAGGATCCCAAGCTGCTGCACGGATAAGATATTTCTGCATGAAGGTAGCAGCGAGTTCAAGATGGCGTATGTGACATGTCCCATATCCAAAGAGTGCTTAGCATGCTATCAGAACCATATCAAATACAACAGCCAAACTCATAGCTAAGATAGCTTTCCTAGTACAAAAAAGAATGTGAAACAGCAGTAGCGTTATAGGACTTACTTGGAGCTAATGAAATGCTTGGTGCAAAACCGAATGCAGTAGTGTTATAGGATTTTTACACCGACCTCACCTAATAAGATAAGACTTTGTTATTGTTGTTGTAATCTTACCAAGTATTTCGGTTAGAGAATCTTAATAAGTTTGCTTCCGACTGCAAATTACAAAACTAAAAAGGTAAAAACGAGTGAGTATACTCAAACTCAGTATAGTGTGGACAGTAAACTCAAATATTATTGAGTTGATTCTTTGTGAAGCAAAAAAAATATTTGAAATTACTTTATGCTTATGATTTGCAATTGTAAATATGTTTGGAACTTATATATCTAACAAAGAAGTAGTCGTGAGGTTTTATTTCATTATAAAATGTCTACCACCGATCTAATTCAAGTTGTATTCAATATTGTGATTGCACCTAGAGAAAGTTTGAATCATATGATTAGGTTTTGTTATATGGTCAAAATTACATCCATATTTTGGGCTTATAACATTATATATACTAAAAGCCAGTTGAATCTGGCACTGTTCAGCAATAGTAAAAGGGCGGAAATGCCCTCCCAATAATTTTCTCAGCTGGGTTTCTCTCAGCTTCTGTACAGTGAAAGGGCTGTTTTGCCCTTTTGATTCCACGTGTCCATCATCCGTGTATGTTTTGGCTTTGGTTATTCTGGATCTTTCTTTTACTTTCACCTATTCTCTCTCGCATATCTCCAGTTGCTTTGTTTCTCGCCGTCTTTTTTCTTCGCCTTCGCTTCTGTTTTCTTCATCGTGTTGCTTCGTTGTTCAAAACGTCGACCATTTTGCTTAGTTGTTCTTCAATTAATGGTCACAGTTGTTAAATTCTCTGCCTTTTTGGTTCGATTCCAATAATTTTTTGGGTTTTTGGTTGGTTGGATCTGGGTTTTCCAAGTAAGTTTTACATGTATATTACCGCACGGGGTTTCAATTTTCCATTTTTTTTTATTCTTTTTGTTAATATCTCATGGGCTTTGCTTTTTGATTTCAGAAATTTTGTGCCCATCTTGGGTTCACTTCGGACTTGGTTGCGACCGATCTAATCCGGCGTTTCCAGGTGAGTTTTGCATGTTTATCAGCTTATATCGTTTCGATCTTTTGTTTTTCGTTGGATTGTTGTTGTGCGTGTCTGATGCGTTTTGTTTTCCAGATTCGGGAAACGGTCCCTTTCAGATTTTTGGATTTTCGATTCTGATTCTTGGAACTCTCTGTGCTAAAGGTATATAAATGTATTATTTGTTTTTTCCTTTGTTCCCTTTGCGGCTGAATTTTTTTTTTTTTTTGTTTTGTTTTGGTGATTTGGGACCTTTTTTGTGTGTGTTTGGGTTGTTAATAGGTGAATCTATGGGGTTTTGTGATTTTGGATTTAGGAATGGGTTTTATGTTGAAATTTCCTATTTGTGATTTTAGATTTAGAAATGGATTTTCATTTGATTTTTTTTTTTTTTTTTTGGTGACTTTGTGGATATTGGGTTATTGATGAGATCCAAGGGCGGAGATCGGGATGAGAAGAAGATATTGCGAGGTTTGGTTTCATCTTCTACTCTCTCTCCATAACCGTTAATCCCCATTACCTTTCAATTTCATCTTCTACTTTCTCTCGCTCTCTCGCTCTCCTCTGTTCTCAGATGGCTCTTGAGGTCGTTGTCAAGGCCGCCTTGGGCGCCCCTCATCTTCTCGGCGACTGTACGTTCACAATTCTCTCTATTTCCCTCGATTTCCTTTCTGGGGTTTGATCAAATTTTGCTACTTTGGTATAATTTTCCATCTTTTGCTTCTGACAGGCCTTTTTAGCCAAAGGGTTCTTCTAACCTTGGAGGAGAAGAAAGTGCCCTACAAATTGCACTTAATCAATCTTAGCGACAAACCCAGTGGTATTTTACTTGGTTTGAACTTTTGATCCCGAAAATACATGCAGGCATAGATGGAAAAATGTGATTTTTGTACTTTTAATGGATTTTGGTGTATTTTTTTTTGGAGTGTCTGAGGAATTGGGTTTGGGGTTTTTGTTGGTGATTTGTAGGTTTACGGAAGTGAATCCAGAGGGGAAGGTGTATGTAACTGAGGATAAACATTTTGTCTTCAGGTAAGCATTATTGCTTTTTCCTGCCAGTCATTGGTGTGCTAATAGTGTTGAGAACAATGCCTAATTTAGTTTAACTCTTCTCATTTTGATAATTACCTTTTCCACTGCCTTCTTGAACTTGGAATTAGTTTGATAGCATTTTGGTTTTAAGCGTTTATAAAAATATTTCATTCCAATGAACAAGTCATTGATCTATTAACTCTTATTTGTTTAAGATTTGGTGCTAAAAGCTATAAGTTACAAGTATTACATTCCATTCACCAAGTCATTGATATATTTAATTCTTATTCGCTAGAGGATTGAGATTTTAACTCTTTTCATCTTTGCTGCAGCCAATAACAAGAATAAACATTCTCCATTGCTTCGCCCGCTTCTACCAACAAATTGAAACCTAAACATTAAAATTTCATGACAACGATTTCACCCATTTATCATAAAATTGGTAGACATAACTTCACACCATCTCAGAGCAGAAATAAAGGTTTTCATTTTCTTTTACTCTGTTATTGCTCACTCTCTGTTTACTTTTCCTTAATTTAAGTCTCCAAACAAGCTACTGTTTGTAAGTCCTATCAATCTTCAATTTTTATTTTTCTTGCTTTGATTTCAGTTCTTTTATTACTAATTTTAATCATTTGTGTCCAATACTGATATATTGGTATGTTAGTTTGAAAATGTGTCCCTTTGAATTTTAAAATCTGGCAAATTATTTGAAGCAATTCTGATTTTAGCTTTATGGACTTTACAAATAGGAAGATGAGGAGACAAAAAGTACAAGGGGATGCATTTAGCTTCCACTTTTGAGGTTCCAGGCACCCAAAATCTGTCAGACCGGTGAGCTCAAAAAAAAAAAAAAAAAAAAAAAAAATCTGATTTTGATATAAAGTTTGGATTTTCAAGTCTGGATTGGATTTAATTTTACATTTAATTTGATGGGTTTGATTTATATGCAAGGACTTTGCTTTTATTAATGCATAAAATATTAATTAAATTTTAATTAAGATGCTAACTTTGTAGGTACCCTGGAATTAACAACGTAGCTGGAGTTCTCCACTGGCTGAAGCACAGTGGAGAACTCAAGTACAGAACTCTCTATCTGTTTCTCAATCCTAGAACCTCTGGCCTCCGTAAGAAGGTTCGTCTCTCTTTCTCTCTCTCACACTTTTTTTTTTTTTTTTAATTCGTAATCGAATTTCTTTTGCATAAATGATAGATCTGTTGCAGTGTAGCTGCAAATCCTACCCTTTGTTTGTTACTTTGTTCCAATTGTTGCAATCAATTTTTCATCGTTTATTTGGTCAATTCTTGCATTGTTTTATTTGGTGAATTCTCAATTAACGACTGGTTCTTCTTGCTTGGTCTAATTAGGTAACTTAAGAATTTCATCTGTTGATTAAATTTCATGTGAGAATTTTTTTTTTGTCCTGATGGATCTGTTATTTTTTTTATTTTTACCATTATTCAATTTTTTTTTTTAATTATGTAGCCGATGAGTTCGGTATTTCTTTGGAGTCTCTGCAAGTTTAAAGTAATCTATGTTGTTATTTTGATTGTGCGTTTGGTGACTGACGTTATTTTAATTAGAATGTTTTCAATTTAGTGTCATCTCAATCTCAATGGGTTTTTATGATATGCCTTATCAGTGAATTTATCTACATTTTTCAATGTTGGTCTCGATGATTGTGATCACTGCACTCTGGATTTTGTTTGAATTCCCAAATTTTGTCGAACATTTGACAAGTGCTCCTTCAATAAATTTCAAGTAAAGAACGTCTAAATATGACAATTTTAGGGTTTCAAATTCATTGGAAAATATGAAATAATATTGCATAATTTCTGATTAATGTGAAAAATTGGTACTTTTGTAGTGATAAATGCTTTTGGAGAAAGTTATAAAGTTTGATACTTTCCAGCTTTAATCTAATTTTTCCATTGTCTTAAGGTATGGATCCTTGCATTTAATTTACTTTTTCTTTTCAAAAGCAATTTGAAGGATTAAAATGCTGTCATTTGGTATAGATGATCGTGGTTTAGCAAATTGATAGCGAGATGGAACACTCCTAACTATGTTGTAAGTTCGACTCACTCAACCTATAAGAGTTGCTTCATAATTGTAATATTCAAAACTATATGGCTTTTTCAGTTATGGTTCGATTATTATTTTCCTTTTCAATTGTTATTCTTCATTTTTTGATGTGGTTGCTATTTGTGATTTCCATTCAATGTGATCTGTACTCTCAGTTTCTTTTCAGAATTCCTCTCTTTGCCTTTTTCCAATGTTAATATTTTTCTCCATGATAGAAATTTTAAGGTCCATGTTAATATATATATATATATATTTTTTTTTTTTTTCAATTTAGATCCTACAAGTTAAAGGTATTGATGATGGAATTAAATTCAACATTGCTCATTGTTCCTTATTGTAGATAAGGTTGTATAACAGCAAAACGTAGCACCGCAGCATCGCGTGGGCAGTCTTGCTAGTTAAATCCTAAAATCCAAATGTTTAACTTCAAGTTCTAAGGCAACACAATTTTTTTGTAACAAACGATATTATCTACATTAAGGGGTTGCGGAGTAGACTAAGGCTCGCAATTGGTTAGTCATAATAATATGGTTCAAATTCGTCTATGGCAAAAATCGAATCTAAGACCTCCCACTTACAAGTGAATATGAATATCATTAGACCGTAGTACAAAGTAGTAAAACAATACTATTTTGACTATTAACATATTTAATAGAGTATCTTATGTTTCGTATTTCATCATGTAACAGAGTGTGCTAGAGTAATTTGATAGGCTAGCTTAGTGAATTTTTAATAGGATAACCTTGTTTTGCATGTACATTTTATGTTATTTGCTCGGATCACTACATATTTTGAATTCCTAAAGTTACAAATTTCTTTATAACAAATGGACAGCGGAGAGTACCTATACTGAAAGATACCTATCTCCTTGTCCAAGGCAAGAGAGGCGGTGCTGTGCTTAGACACACAATAATTTATAACTTTTTAGCAAAAGTAGTTCTTTGTTTGTGGAATATAATTTGCTTGGAACTGTCAAACTTATTAAGCAAGACCGAAGGGATTACCTTTAATTTCATTGAAGGTTTTTTTTATCACAAATAATTTTTAAAATTGATCTAATTCTTTTTGATATTTCAATTTTAAGTCAATTAATGTCGTTTTTGAAATTGGTTGTCGTAAATTAATTTGGTCATTTAGTTATGATGTTGTTAATGTGTTGACATGACACACATGTAGGTTCTTCAAGTTCTTACCCATTAAAATTCAAGCAATTCTGAGTAAATTCTCTATTATATTAAATCATATTTTGGGTAAGGAGGATCACAAGGTTGTTCGAATTTGGTAGAGTGACCAATGTTATTAAGCAGCTTAATACGCATGCACTAGTCATATCCTCAAATAGACGTCCAAATATAAAGTGGTGTGACTAACTGATTGAAGCCATACAAGTTACAAAGTTGAAGGGCCAAAAATTTTAAAAATTTAATTGAAGGAACCAAAGTAAACACAACTTATTACAGGGATCAATATTTTTTTTTTTCTAGAATTTTTACGCACACATGGTAAGTGAGGTATCCTATACTAACTCGAAAAGTTTAGGACATACTTAATGACCACGCAATGCGTTGAACAGTGGTGAGCAGACTCGAACATCTTTGATCACTTGGCACAGGCTCCATCACACAACCAAATCGATCACTACATTTAGTAACTGATAACAAAGAGAACATAACCAAACGATGGAATAAAAAATATAATGATCATGCCTTCAAGTCACCGCAACATAAAAAATAAAAAATAAAAATAAAAAAAAATAAAAAAAAATTAGGTCAGTGAACGTGAAGGACTTATACACCAACTGTTGGTGGCAGCAGAATTGCCGCCCTCTGACGAAAGTTGGAAACCACTAACATGCATCCATATACGAGTTTCAGTTGTGGATATATAGCCTGACCTCTGTAAAGTGGCATGCACGGATTACGATAACTTATAATATTTATCAAGTGCAAAACCACCCCGTCAGTTCAGTAAGTTCTTATCCGCACAATACTTCGGCTGCTGTTTTTGTGCGGGCTTGGGACGTTGAAAAGATCCAATACCCTGTATAT